AGGCATATGTATGTGCTTGAGAGTTTCAGGTGAGGTGAAAGAGAGGAGTCCAGCAGCAGGTCTGTCTCTGTGATTTGATGTGAACTAAGAGACACGAGCATCCCCCCCTCCCCCCTTCCCGATTCTCTTTGGCTGCTTTGTGTTTTAACAGGATAGCTTTGCTTGTCTCTGTAGGTGCAGGTCAGATTTTTTGGGGAAAGGTTTGTCTTTTGAAGTGGCTACCAGTGAGTGACATTTTATTGTTAGCATTCCTCATTCAAGTGAATTGGATTCAAAATCCACAAATTGCATTTTGCCAAAAGAATTCTAATCACCAGGTTTGCGTATTTGGCGATGAGGAAGGCCATTAATATGGCCGAAAGCAGAAAGAGCACTTTGTGATAAGAATTTTATGTCACACTGGTATTTTTGAAGTCAAGAATGATCCCTCAGGCTCAACACAGAATGGCAGGTCAGCTTTCATCTTCCAGCTGCCTGTTTGCTTTTTAGTGACAGATTCTATTCCTATCTACTATAAAATATTTTCCTGCCATATTTCCTACATCAGGCTGTTAACATGCACCCCCCCCCATGTTTAGTCTAGCTCCTCGTGAGAGAAAAGCAGCTGTATCTCCATGTGGTAGGGTTGATTACTCGTTAGGGTCAGTTATGCTTCCATTATTTACTGCCACTAACATTATTAGTGCACTGATCCAACTCACTCCTGTCATCATCATCATACTTACCTGCGCTCTGTTCCTCATGCCTGCCTGCCTGAGCCACTCTGTTCCTCATGCCTGCCTGAGCCCTCATACAGTCGCATGTTTTTAATGTCGTCATTGTCTTACAAACATGGTCCGGCTTTAATGGTGTGCCTGCAGCTGTGGATGAGTTGTGTCGAATGCTGTTTCGTCATGTTGTTATAATGAATGTCCAGCATGAGAATGTTTGTTGAATTTGTCCCGAACAACAGCTGGTAAAATCAGAGCTACTTGTTAGGCAGAGAGCAGGTCTATCAGATGAAAGCAGGACCTCTGTTCCCCTCTCCTTCCTTTTTCTTTCTTCTCCCATCTTTTCCCTCCTTTTCTTCCCGCATTGTAATTCCACCAGTCAACCAGCAGATGGCAGTCGCCCTTCACTCAACCAGCGCTCAGCTCTGGCTGGACTGAGCCACTCTTATCGACACCAAACAAGAAAGAGTCCCAGTATGATTGCGGTCAGACCCTGCGTTAAAACCTGTGTAACTTGGCGGGATTTTTCCACTTTTGTGTATCTGATTGACTCACTTCATCCCCCATCAGCCACCTGGGCTGAGCCCTTGCCTCCTTGGAGGGGGGGTGCTCTCAACTGCATCTGCATTAGAAGTTTCCCCCATTTGATCAGTTTTATTTGTGAATGTGACAACACGCACGTATGAACAACATGTACTCACATGTATGGAAAGCCAAATGTGTCAAACATGGGATTCGAAGTGTTTGGCTGTCTGTACACATTGACTTGTAAACATGTCAGTGTTACATGTGTGATGCTAGTTTTTACCATTGAATGATTTGTACATGTTACATCTTTGTCATGCTGAATGTGTTTCCATGGTGATTGTTTTTAGGTTTGTGTGGTGGACCCTCGTCAAAGTTTGAATTGAACTGATGCACTTTGCCCTGAATTTCTCCAGCATTTGAATCAGATTAAATGAATGAGTGAATAAATGAACGAATGTCTGTTTGCTCATAGAGGTGTGAACTTTACAAATGACCACTGTGGAGCAGCAGCAAACAAAAGCAGCTCTAGTAATTTTCTCTTCATGGATGGTTTTTATACTACTTTTGCAATGACTGCTTTTTTTGTTTTTGCATGTTTTCTAGATTCTTTGAATGGATTTGTTTTTGTTCTTTAATCACTCACTGTATTTGTTCAGTACACAAACAATGACAAATTTAACAAAGTTTGGCTTCTTGTTGATGTTTAAGAGAACTGCCACTAACGTTTCTTCTCGTATCATGGGTTTCTGAACAGCAGGTGGCAGCGCCTTAGTTGTAATCTGTGTTTATTCAATGAAGCTGTGAAATGTACAGAATGATGCTGTAGATGTTACTTGAACTTGGCCCAGTCACCCTACTTCACATTTTTCTCTGCCTGTAACTGTTTTGCAGTTTAGTGTTTAGTATTGCTCTTTACCAACATCGGAGGGATTAGTGAGAGACACAAACGTTAACGTCAAAGCAGCAGAGCCTGAAAACTCCTCACATTAAGTCCCTAATCTGGCTCAAACTCTTAAAATGCTGGATACAACTTTATCCATAATGCAACTAAAGTGTCTTTCATTGCAGCCTTTTTGCCTGGTAAATGCCCACATCTTTCAGAGCTCCTCTAGAGCCAAGGAAGATGTTGTACAACTTTTTTCTCAGTTGAAGTAAACTGAACTTGATGAGTGAAATTGGCAGAGTGACAGGTTGGATTTAAGCTCCTTTGGGATGCAAAATGGCACAAATGAAATTAATCAGTTTCTGTAGTGTTGTCAGTTTTTGCTTTTTTTCTGATGCCTTGTATACAAAGATCAATCCATTCTTTTTGTTTTGTGTACATATCTGATGTCGTGGGGCTGCAGCTAAACATTATTTTCAGTATCATTTAATCTGAAAGTTCTTCAGTTCAGGGAATCACAAGCCGCACTATTTGTGATTCCCTGAACCGAAATATGTTTTGGGCCCTTTTGTTTTGACATGCAGCGTTTTGACATGTACGTTTTGTTCCAGTGATTAAACAGTTGCTGTTGAATCCCATTTTTGTATTTAAACAATTCGGTCTACAGTTAATTATAAATTAATACCTTCATTGTTTTTTAAAGATAATGCCTGTTGCTAGTTTTGAGCGCCCAACAGGAGACTTCCAATCACGGGTTTTGTTCAGGAAAGGGTTCAAAACTCAAACTCAATTTACAGTGATTCTAAACTGAGAAAAGCAGCGGCGACTCTTTTTTGGGATGAAGTATCAAGTGAATGTTTATTTTTGCTTTATTAATGATTAAATGTCAGAATATACATTTTATTTTGAGCTCTAAAATCAATGCCCTAGCTGTTTATAAATGGTACCCTCAGCCATAAGCAGACAGGATAACCCTCTGATGCTGAGACGATAAGTAGGACTCACTACATTTTTTTTTATGCTAAATGAGTGTTTATAGCTGTCTGCAGAACATCTTAAACTCAGTATATCATACAGACAGACTGTACACTCCAAATTTGACAGTGACCTCCTGAAATGTCTCTGTTCAGGTTGTTTTGTTGTTTGGAGTATACAGTCCCTTTAATCAGAGCTGTTGACCAGGAATATACTGATATAGCAGCTTTACGGAGAAAACTAAAGTATCCCAGTAACAGTGTACTTTTTACCTTCATATATATATATAGATATAGAAAAGCTGTGAGCCTATAAAAGCCACTGTGTTAATCTTAATATTATGCAAACGTACATAACTCAGCTTTGATATAAATATGATCCAGTCTGCAGTAAATTCTTGTACAAACAGTTCTTTACTTGCCAAGCTACTGTGAGTGTGGTGCTGTTCACCCAGCCGAAGCCAGACGTGTCCTCCTCTGCATCCTCTTTTGAAACTGATCATCATAAATGTCCAGTGGAAACTTTGTACCTCTGACGACAGTGCACAGATGAAATCTTATCACCCAGTAACAGTAAAACAGCAGGTGCAAGGTGTTTCTGCAGGACATTAAACCCATGTAAAAACATTTCTACCATGTTTTATAAGTTGTAACGAATGGCAGTACTTCTATTTCCTTATTGTGCACATTTTTTTTTTACTTTGAATGTTGTCAGACACTTTGTAAACAAATGCTTTTTCTTCTTTCAAGATATTGTTTTAATAAAATAAGCAGCAGCAAAAAAAAGTCGATGTGATTCTGTGATGCTCTATCAACTGCAGGAAAAAGAAAAGCAACGTCTGCTAATGAAGCAGTAATGATCTGTAACTGCAGACTTTGGCAGAATGGACTGCTGAGTGACCTTTAGTTTAATAGTGACGGGCCTTTTTTCTTCTGAAATAATCACCTACGTTAGGCGGAATTAAACGACCTCTGTCTGCATCGCCTTTTGTTCAGATCGACCAAATGTTAAGCATAAAAGCATTTAACCAAGATGTGAATTTGTAATTGTACTGTTACACATGCAAACATTTAGTATATCACAAAACTGCCATGCTCCACAGATACAATTTTATTAAATCTTACTGCAGTAGTTCATAATATTTTAAAGACTAAAATTCATCTGTTTTTTACAGTCACTGTTCTACAGAAATTATGTACAGCTTTAACATAATGCTTCACATATGTACAGGTCATTTTATAATCACTTCCTGTGATTTTTAAGGGCAAAAAAAAAAAAAAAACTGGTAAAGAGACTACAACTACATTTTCACATGTACAGAAAGTTTGGATTTTGAATTTGCTACAGATTTTCTGCTCCTGTGTAAATGCAGTTTAAAGAGTTACAACTGATAACCTGCCATCTACTGATAAGGAAAAAACCTTGCTAATATTACAATGCATTTATATACTGTATATTTAAACAAGCAGTTTTTTTCTCCTGCTTGTTTTACCAGCAACAAACATCAGGTGGTTTTCTATCAAATGAGCCAAAAGTATATCTAGATGATACAGACCTATGGGCTCTGTAGAAGAACGTCTATTCTTTACTCATTTCTGCCTGTTTAACTGTTTTGTGCCCTGACCTTTTAAACCCATTAATTAAGGTACACTAACATCATAAAATGGGGAACTTTCATTGTCCTAGTTTGACGGAAACCTGTGGTCCGTAACAGCTCCTCATTTCAGCAAAAATGAGGTGAGTAAAAATCACAGTTATGGTTTTTATAATACAGAAAAACACATTCTTTAATGGATTTACACAATAACACAGGTCTTGGACTGAATTATGTCAAAACTGTTTTGT